AAATCATGAATCCCTATCCAGAGAGTCCAGCATTCCTAAGGTATGGCCAGGTAGCCAAAGAGAGATTCTAGAAGCAGAGAACTAGGCAGGGGTCAGATAATGCCCCACTGTTCCTTGTGACATGTGCTTGAATGAGGGGAGGGTGGGGGTTCCCTGCAACACTTCATCAAAGTCTTGGCTTGCCTGTTTACTAAGTGAGAAAAATGGTGTCCAAAGTCAAAACAGGCCAGTCACAACTGGCAGGGGGTAGAGCGGTTTATCCGACCTACGCAGCCTGCTTCTCAAGAGTGTCCCGCTGCTTTCTCCACCTCGTCTGGCCTCTTAGCCGGTTTCTCCGTCGTCAGTGCATGCTGCTAACAAGGAATAGATCGGTCTATACCGTCTGTGGAATCTTGTCCGACAGCGAGACAGATCCAAGGCATGACCACCTGCTGAGGCTCTCAGCTGCAGCCTATCCATGGCCACAGCCCTCTCTTCAGGCCGAAGCGCTCAGCTGCAGCCTATCCATGGCCACAGCCCTCTCTTCAGGCCGAAGCGCTCAGCTGCAGCCTATTCATGGCCACAGCCCTCTCTTCAGGCTGAGGCTCTCAGGTGCGGCCTATCCATGGCCACAGCCCTCTCTTCAGGCTGAGGCTCTCAGCTGCGGCCTATCCATGGCCACAGCCCTCTCTTCAGGCCTGATCTGATAGCTGACAGGATGGGAGAGGGCTGCAATGAAGACCAATGAGGGATGTTGCACATGAGGAGAGGTTTCAGAGGGTCCCTGAGGGGCCAGAGGCTACTGGCTCAAGTAACAATTATTAGTCACACCTTAGGAAATAGACACTGAGCACAAAGGCCTGTCGAGGCTGTAGAGGATCTATAGTACTACTTCAGAAGGCTGAGAAGGTAGTGCAGTTGGTACAATGCTTGTCTGGCTTTGATACATAAAGCCCTAGCTTTGATCTCCAGAAGCTCATAAAACTGGGCATGATGATGTACACCTCTATAATCCCAGCACTAGGGAGGTGGAGGCAGGAAGATCAGAAGTGCAAGGTCATCCTCAGCTACATAGAAAGTTCAAAGCCGGCCTAGACTGGGTATCTCCCCTGAGTCCCTGCACTGAATCCAGAGCCTCGTACATGCTGGGCAAACACACTAACCACTAGTCTAAAACTCCACCCCAGTCTCTCATATTAGAGAGAATTAGGCCTGCCTGGATGAGGTTAACTGGCCAGAGCTGCAGGGTCACGTGGAGGAGCAAGCTTAGTCAGCAGTCTAATGGAGGCCAAGCCTGCTGCACAGTGGGTTCCTTGGTAAGTGAACCAAGCCAGAAGATAAGAGAGTGAAGAAAGCTTGTAGCAGATGAGAGCCCTGGGGAGCTTTCCATAAACAGTGTCTCACAGAACAAAAGCAGAACACAGGGAATTTATTGGAAGATTCCCCACACTTAATTCCAGAAGGACTTGTCGTCACACGAAGAGGTGCACCCTTGCATATGTACAGTTTGAGATCATGCTTCATAACCCCACCACTTTCTAAAAGAAATTTTTGAGACACTGTTTTGCTATGTTGCCTTAGCTGGCCTGGAACTCATCTGCCTCTGCATAGTGCTGGGATTAAAGCTGTGCTCTACCTGCTCAGCGTAACTGCATGTTTTTTAAAGGATTTTTTTTTAAATTATGTGTACGAGTTTGTCTATACCTATGTGCACATGAGTGCAGATGTCCATAGAAGCCAGAAGTATCACATCCCTGGAGCTGGAGTTACGAGCAGTTGTTAGCCACCTGCTGTGAATACTGGGAACTGAACTCTGCAAGAGCAATAATTTCTGTTAAGGGCTGGGTCATCTTTTCACTCATCGCTGCATGTTTTAAAACACAAGATGGGTTGGGCAGGAAGATGTTTGTAAATCTTGTAAATTCAAGGCCAGCTTGTACTACATGGAGAGTTTCAGAAAGCCAGGACTATATAGTAAAACCTTGACTCAAAATGAAAAAAAAAAAAAAAAAAAAAAAGAGGAACAGGGAGTAGTGGTGGGTACACACCTGTAATCCCAGCACTCATGAGGTTGGAGGCAGGAGAATCAAGAACTTAAGGCCAGCCCAGGCTACCTAGAAAAACCCCGTACTAAAATAAATTATCCCAGCACTTGGGAGACAGAGGCAGGCAGATCTCTGTGAGTTCAAGGCCAGCCTGGTCTACAGAGTGAGATCCAGGACAGGCACCAAAACTACACAGAGAAATCCTGTCTTGAAAAAAAAAACAATAAAAAAATACATCCATACATACATAATACATAGGGGTTAGAGAGATAGCTCATTGGTTGAAACAGTACATATAACATAAAACAGTTTGATTCCTAACCTCCACATCCGTCAGCCCACAACCACCTGTAACTCCAGCTACAGGGATCCCCTGGCCTCCCCAGGCACTGTACTCACATGCACATAACTTAAAATAATAAAAATGTTAAAGTAGGGTGGGAATACCTCCATCAAAGAATTACAGCAAGATCATAATGAGCAAGGTTCACTCTAGCCAGGTGTGGTGGTGCACCTTTAATTGCAGGACTAGGTAGGTTGAAGCAGGCAGCTCTCTGAGTTCAGGTCTAGCCTGGTCTACAGGGCAGTACCAGGACAGCCAGGGCTACACAGAGAAATCCTGTCTTGAAAGTAAAAAAAGTCTACACTTGCTACAAATACAATTGGCATTGAGTTCCTACCTCTGTAAGAATCTCAGACCCTGCCCACTCTCAAGGACCCTACAGCTTCAAGCTGTGTGGAGTTTAAGTACCACCCACTAACTTTGTCTGATACACGATCTGAAATGGACTCTTAATGGCTGTCCACCTCTGGTAGAGAAGGTGAGAAGGCCCTTGGCCTTACAGTTTAGGATGGCACAAATCAATGTTCAAAGGGCTGCCAGTCTAGAAAGTCAAGTCCACAGGCCCTTTTGAGTACTGAACCTAGGTAAGAAGGTGGGTTGCTGCAGTAGGCTCCTGGGTGGAGGGACATTATCCCATCTTCTCCAATCTCAGGAAGTGTACCTGAGACAGTAAAAGGAATGAAGATAATCTAAAGAGCCACCCTCTCTTTGCCTATCAGACTGTTCAAACAACAGTTCCCAATTAATGAGAATTTTCCAAGGAGTCTCATGTTGGAATAAGGAAAAGACTTGTCTTGAAACAAATGTCACAGCTCATCAGACCATCTTGTAGGAGTGACTGTAATTGAAACAATGAGAGTCAAATGATGGACCACACCTTGCCTAGGACTGATTATTTATTCCACTTCAGTTTAAACCCCTTACAAGAACTCCACAAAGACTGGGGAGTGTTACTGGACCTCTTCCCTTACTCCTCTTCCTCATATGGCCACATTAAATAAATCTGTCTTTGCTTTCTGCTTTTCACTGTTTGTTTTGTTTTTTTCTTGTTTTTTTCTTTTTCTTTTCTTTTTTTTTTTGGTTTTTCGAGACAGGGTTTCTCTGTGTAGCTTTGCGCCTTTCCTGGGACTCACTTGGTAGCCCAGGCTGGCCTCGAACTCACAGAGATCCGCCTGGCTCTGCCTCCCGAGTGCTGGGATTAAAGGCGTGCGCCACCACCGCCCGGCTCACTGTTTGTTTTTCGAGACGGGTTTCTTGGTGTTGTAGGGTAAAAGGGCCAGTGAAAGAAACACACTTTGGCCCTGAAACCAGAGCCAAATCCGCCCCTGACCAACTAAACCAACCAATCCCTGAGCAGAAAACCAACCAATCCCTGAGCACAAAATCTAGCCAGTCTGAGCTCAAGGGGATTGAAATCCCACCAATTCCCACCCTGAAAATCTTCTCCCTGGAAAACTCCACCCCTAAGGAGCCCGGTATAAGCCCCGCACCTGTGCAGTTGGGGCTGCTTTCCCCACGTGACAGAGGTAGTCACTCTCCTGGATTCTGCCCTCCCGGTGCATCTCTTGAATGGGGTTTGGGTGACGGCCTTCTGTCACTGGAGTGGAGCAAAGCAAGGCTGTACCACTGTCCCTGGGGAAACCTTCTCCTAGCAGAGCGGAGTTGTTACACTCTGGGGACTTGAGCAGAACTGTAAGTTCACTGGGGAAACCTTTCCCTGGAGCAGGGCCATAAGTTACTATGCTTAGGGTGACTTGTATTCCTTGGCTCCTGACTGCCAGGATCCCTTATCATCCCAGCTGCAATGCTTACAGGTGTAGCCCTGGCTGTCCTGGAACTCACTCTGTAGACCAGGCTGACCTCAAACTCAAGAGATTTGTCTGCCTCTGCCTCCCGAGTGGTGGGATTACAGGTGTGTACCAGGTGGCCAAGCCTAGCTAGCCAGGACTGATAAGACCCAGGCTTTGCCCCTAATAACTACAGCACCAGTTCTCTAAAACCAATAACTTCTCTAGCTCCTAACAGGCCACAAAACATGCCTGAATTGGATTTAACAAACCCAAGCCTGAGGCTAGATAAGGATAACATACAGTGGTGATAAGATCCAAAATTGTGCACCTTCTCAAAATGGGTGTAAAGTTACCCCTCGAAACTCCTGCATGAGCTTGACCCTTAAATAAATGTGGGCTGGAGAGATGGTTCAGTGATGAAGACTTGACTGTTCTTTCAGAAGCTAGCCAGGTTCCATTTCCGCCACCTACATGGCGGTTCACAACCGGCTGCAACCCCAGTTCCAGAGGACCCGACGCCCTCTTCTGGCTTCCCCAAGCATTGCATGCAACTGGTGCACAGACATAAATGCAGGTAAAACACTCAAAAAAATTTTTTTTAACGACAGACGCACTTGAATCGTCGTCCCTGATTCTCTACGCTCCAAAGCAAGCCACGCTTACGCCTCAGACCCATGAGGCAATCTAAACCAGGGCCTCAGCCTTTGCCCAAGGGTAGTTCAGGCAACCGAGATGGCCGCCACAGATCGTATAAGAGAGCCGCTTCTGGATCGCTTAAGATGGCGGCGACGGTATGGGAGGGGCTGCGGGAGGAAGGGGGCGTGGCGGGCGGGGCCGCGCGGAGCACGCCGGGCCTGCGGCCGCGCTTGGGCTGCCGGGAAGGGGCGGAGCGTGGCCGCGCCGGCGCGTCGAGCCAGAAGCAGCCGCCGGGATGGTGAGCGGGCGCGGGGGGGAGGGGCGCGGGGCCGGGGGCGGCGGGGGCGCCGGGGCCAGGCCGGGGGCCGCGGGCTGGCGTTGACGCGGGCCCGCCATCCTCAGGACGTGTTTCTCATGATCCGGCGCCACAAGACCACCATCTTCACGGACGCCAAGGAGTCGAGTACCGTGTTCGAATTAAAGCGCATAGTCGAAGGCATCCTCAAGCGGCCGCCGGACGAGCAGCGGCTGTACAAGGTGCGACGAGCGGGCGTGGCGGTTGCGCGCGTGGGGGCCAGGCAGGACGCCCAACAAGGGGGTCTCGGATTGTGATGAGGGGCTGGCGGCATCGGGTCCCAGGCCAGCCGCCCCGCCCTGCCAGGCGGCCTTGCTCAACGGTTAGGGAAACCGAGGCCTCGGTGATCTTATGCAGCCGAAGGTCGTCGCAAAGCCAGGGTTTGAACCACAGTGCACCTAATCTAAGGCCTGCGGGGAGTCCGCTGGAATCCCACTGCTGGAGGGTGGGGTGGAACTCGATGAATGCGGTGTTGTCTAGAAGATAGGTTATCCCACCAATGCTTCACCTAGCCAGTCTCCTGATATTCTAGAACCACCTCTCATTCAAGCACACATTTTTACTTGGGAAGCCAGCTCCAGTTTTCAGTAAGCCAGGCTATGGAGTTGGATCCTCGTGCCACAAACCCGATTCAGGTTTCCCAGAAGCATGATGTCAATCTAAGTGCATTGAGCTAATTCTGGCTGTAAAGGGGAGCTGACCTTTTGCTCCAGATTAAAGCCAGGCTTCCTGTTTCTGAAGGGCTTTCTCTATGATACCCACTGGGCTTTTCCTTGAAAGACCCTTTTTCTATTCTAGGAACCACACATAGTGTTCTAGTACAGCTTTCTAGGCCTCTCTTATGTTATTGAAACTTTTGACTGCCCTGTGAGTTGGATATTCCAGCAATTCCCATTTTAAGGTGAAGGTTGATTTAAAAAAAAAAACAAAACAAAACAAAAAAAAAAAACAAAAAAAACCTGACTAGGAGTCAGGGATACAACTCTGTTGAGTTACGGTAACACAGCCTGCATCAAAGTCCTAGGTTAGATCATCAGCCTGGAAAAACTGGGCAATAATTCTACTTGGGAGGTAGAGGCAGGAGGATTAGAAGTTCAGAGCATCTACTGTATGAGATTGACTCTCCAAAAAAAAATAAATAAATAGAATCCAATATCTTTATTTACCTAGAGAGCTTGGAAAAGCCAGAACCCAGAGCCTTTGTGAGTTTTATTTTTGTGTGGTACATGCCAACACAGTCCAGGTGCTTATGAAGGCCAGAAACAACAGATTCGCTTGAACTGGAGTTGTGAGCCAATATATATTATATGGGTGCTGGAAAATGAACTTAGGATTCTCTGCCAGAGCTTTTAACTACTGTGAGCCATCCAGCCAGATTTGGAAATTCTTGGCTCTGGAATGTGTGCTTTACTTAGGGATGACTCTCCTCAACATAGTTGCTGACATGCTATGCTGACCAGAAGGCTTTCTTTGGGACTTGTCCCTTTTAGGACCTCTCCCCCAAACCTGCTTCTCTCTTCAGGATGACCAGCTCCTTGATGATGGAAAAACTCTGGGCGAGTGTGGCTTCACTAGCCAGACGGCACGGCCACAGGCCCCAGCCACAGTGGGCCTGGCCTTCCGAGCAGGTAAGATGGCTAACCTGGATGGCAGCTGGCAGTCTGGTAACATCCAAAGAAGAAGGACTTTGGGGAGCCTGTAGTCACCCAAAGCTTTGAGGGGATATCTTTCCAGTCCACAAAGAGCATGAGGTATTTGTTTCCTTATTAAAAAGCAAAGCCTGGGGACTGAATAAATAGCTCAGCAATTAAAAGCACTGGCTGCTCTTCCAGAGGACTTGGGTTCCACTCTAGTACCCACACAGCAGCTCAGAACTGTAGTTCCGGTTCCAGGGGACCTGAAGCCCTCTTCTGGTGTCCTTGAAGCACCAGGCATGCACACAGAGCAGACTTACATGCTGAGAAAACACCCATCCACATAAAAAATTATTTAAAACATTGAAACACATGCACTTGGGAGGCAGAGGCAGGTGGATCTCAGTTCAAGGCCAGCCTGGTCTATAGAGAAGAGTTCCAGGACAAAACCCTGTCTCAAAAAAACAAAAAAAAACCTGAAACACAAACAGGAGTTGTGGAAATAAAGATGACTTTCAGGTTCCTTTCCTAGTACCAGCCATATTTATAGGATTTATTGAATAGTTGGCCCTGTACTTTATATATTGTCCCACCTCATCTCTTTTTTTGGAGGTTGATGGGGCAGGGTTCAAGACATGTTTTCTCTATGTTGCCTTGACTGTCCTGGAACTTGCTTATAGACCAGGCTGGCCTTGAACCCAACAGATCTACCTGTCTGTCTCCCTGGGACTAAAGGTGTGTGCCACCATGACCAGAATGATTGTGCCAGATTTTAAGGACAAGTGAGCTGGGGTAGTTAGATCTCCTGTCAGACTGGTGGTACACACCTTTAATCCCAGGCAGAGGCCAGCCTGGTCTACAGAGGAGTTCCAGGACGGCCAGGGCTCTGTAGAGACCCTGCCTAGAGGCAGGAAGAGATTTAATAATTTTATTCTTTGCCTCTTGGAATTTTTTTTTTATTTTTTTTATTTCTATGTTATGTGCATTGGTGCTTTGCTATGGAACTGGAACAGGAGTCACAGACAGCTGTGAGCCGCCATGTGGGTGCTGGAAATTGAACCCAGGTCCTCTGGAAGAGCAGTCAGTGCTCTTAACCCCTGAGCCACCTCTCCAGCCCCGCCTCTTGGAATTTTAAACTAGGGTCATAGAACTTGTTTTTACAGCTGTGGACCTAGGGACTGTGTATATGGGCAAGAAAATGTGGAGAAGTGGCTCAGCGATGAAGAACACTGGCTCTTGCAGAGGACCTGAGTTCAGTTCTCAGTATCCACAGCTCAGCCATCTGTAACACCAGTTCCAGACAATCCAATGCCTTTGACCTTCATAGGTACAGGCCATACACACATACATGAAAATCTTTTAAAGTGACAGGAAGTACTTTATCTTGAAAGTATAAGCAGAGGCTAAGGCAGGGAAAGTATGGTTCTAGTTACACTTCTTAGTTTTTATCAAGTAAATCTCCGCTCACGCATAGCTGATTGCACTCTTTCACCACCCAGCCTGGAGCTCCCATGTCCACCCAGGCAGAGCCTTGCCTGCTGCAAGTGCCCCACATTATGGGAATCTGCCCTGAGACAACTGCCTGGTAGGTGACATGGAGGCACTTGTAGGACTAGTGAAGATCCACAGGTCAGATGTCAAGTGAGGTTCCCTTTTGCATGGGCTCATGAGGATGAAAACACAACTTATCTGCTTCTTAAGCTAAGGCAAGGTTGTGTTCTCTCAAAAAGTCACCCTTTTTCTCCAAGCAGAACCTAGTACCCTAGAGGCTAACATTGTCCTGGAAGACATTGATAGCCCTATATTATAGTTATATCAAAGCTAAGGGAAGTGACTTTTTTTTGCGGGGGTGGGGGGGTGGGGGGGGGTGGAGGTCCTGATAAGGCATTGAATATGGAGGCGACTGGCCCAAAAGGCACTATAATCCTTCTGGCACATAGAATGTGTTTTGACATGATGTTCAGGGTTGCTGTATCCATCACACATTTGCATAAGCACTTCTAGAAGCAGCTGACAGTTAGCATTAGGTTTTTGGACCTAATTGGGTGCCACTCTGTCCATGCTCAAGCGTCTCCCTAACACTAACTGCTATTAGGGATGTTTTTGTTAAATGGCATTTTTAACTAGACCTATAACAGGAATGAAGGAAATCAATCAAGAACTGTGTCACTGAAGATTTGTAGCACTAGGTGATGGGTCTGTCTCCCCACCCCCCAGACACGGTTTCTGTGTAACCCTGTAGCTAGAGTTTTCCTGCCTGGCCCACAGTCAGGGCAAATCTCTCTCACCTGCCAAGTAAACACAGAGACTTATATTGGTTACAAACTGTATGGCCATGGCAGGCTTCTTGCTAACTGTTCTTACAGCTTAAATTAATCCATTTCCATTAATCTATACCTTGCCACATGGCTCGTGGCTTACCGGTATCTTCACATGCTGTTTCTCATCGTGGCGGCTGGTGATGTCTCTCTGACTCAGCCTTCCACTTCCCAGCTTTATTCTCTTCCTTGTCCCGCCTACACTTCCTGCCCAGCCAATGGCCAATCAGTGTTTTATTTATTGACTAATTAGCAACACATTTGCCATACAGAACTTCCCACAGCATAACCTTGGCTGTCCTCATATTCAACCTGCCTCTAACCTCTGTTGGGATTAAAGGCATGTGCAACCACCTCAGCACTGCTGGCATTTGTGACCAGAATGGTTAGTTGTGCATACTGCTCTTACAGAGCACCTGGGTCCAAGCACTCACATGTCAACTTGTTGGCATCCTTGAATTCCTGGTAGCAGTCCCAGCTCTTCCCTAGTCTGACAACCAGTAGTATCTCCAGACATGTATGGACACCTCATCAGTTGAAAATTGAGAGCCAGGTCATAAGTGTGGGACAAGCTCAGGAAAAAAAATATGTGGTGGGGGGATTTGTTTTGTACTGAGTCAATAATGAGCAGTGAAAATAGGGCTAAGGAGTTGAGAGTATTACCTGAGGCATGAAGCTGGGAGTCTGATCCCCAGCACTGCATTTAAAAAAAAAAAAAGTAAACCAACACAATATGCTTAAAATCCCAGCACTTAGGGAGAGTTCAACGTTCTCTTTGGCTACATTAGCAGGTTTGAGGTTAGTCTGGGGCACATGACTAAAGCCAGTGGTAATATCTTATATTCCCAAGGCAGTGATCAGATTGAGTACTCTGAAGTAACATTTGAATTCCATTGTGAATACCCAGTTAGCCTAAATTTGGCAGCTTTAAGACCCAAAAGTACAAAGGCTGCCTTGGGTCATAAAGAAGTTTGGCATGGAAATCAAATACTAATTGGAAAGAGAAGGAAGGGTAATGACTTTAAGGGTTTTTGGTTTGTTTTTTGCTTTTTTTGAGACAGGGTTTCTCTGTGTGGTTTTTGGTACCTGTCCTGGATCTTGCTCTGTAGACCAGGCTGGCCTTGAACTCAGAGATCCGGGTTTTAAGTGTTTTGTGCCTGCCTGTGTCAGATGACTTGAAAACCAGTTCACTTCAAAAGCAACATGCACTGTTTTTTGTTTAACAGCCCTGGGTGTCCTAGAGCTCCCTCTGTAGATCAGTCTGGCCTTGAACTCTTGAGATCTGCCTGCTGTGTGCTGGTATTAAAGGTGGGCACCACCATGCCTGATGCAACTCTTAACCACTTGAGGCCTCTCTCCAGCTCAGTCTTGTGATGCATTGGGCATATATATTGTAGTCAGAGTATGGAGTATGATGGTGAACAGTTTGTCTTAAGGTCTTGGGATTTTGGGTATTTGGTGGCAAAAAAATTGAGATGCTAGTGGAGGGTGTGGCAATTTGGAGAGAGAAGGTGTAGGCTAGGCATCCTGGTCACACTGGTTGAGATCTATTGGGATCAGTGGTAAAATTAGGCCTCTGGGAACAGAAGACATAATACCAAGTCACACAACCAAGGTTGGAAGGCCATGGTTTTGGTGGCATTTTGACCATCCTTCCAAGTGAAAGAAACATTGGGCATCTTCTCAAGCTCTGCTCCCTTCCACAGATGATGCCTTTGAAGCCCTGCGCATAGAGCCCTTCTCCAGCCCTCCAGAGCTTCCGGATGTGATGAAGCCACAAGATTCTGGAGGCAGTGCCAATGAACAAGCTGTGCAGTGAGGGCCCCAGGCCCACCCCCCTTGAGACCCATTCCCTCAAAATAAAGATGATTTGGCTGTCCACCTGGCTGCTTTCTCTGTTCCGTCTTCCTCCATTATACGTTCTACTACTTGCTCACTTTTCATAAGCTTACAAGGTGTAGTCTCATGGCTCAAGTGTCCTACAGGCCAAAGGGTAATGACTTTAAGGGTTTTTTGCTTTTTTTGAGACAGGGTTTCTCTGTGTGGTTTTGGTGCCTGTCCTGGATCTTGCTCTGTAGACCAGGCTGGCCTCGAACTCAGAGATCCGCCTGAGTTTTCAGTGAAAACCGAAAACCTAGTTCCAGGCCAGCCTGTTGAGCAAGGGATGGGTATTTGTGTAGTGCTATTTGCTCCGCCCATGACCTTGGACTATAGGGCCCCGTTGTATGTGACTTCTCTTAAAAAAGAGGGGTTGTGTTTCCCCTCCCCCCACCCTTTTTTCCCCCTTTAATCCTGGTGTGACTGGACAGCCTCTTAATTAACCCCAGGTCCTTTGGAACATCAGTGCTCTTGACTGCTGAGCCTTCTCTCCTCTCAAGCAAATACCACTACATATTTGTTCTATTTCAACTCAAATTTAGCCACAAGTAAAGTCTATAGGCCCAATGACCACATTTCTCATTTTTTATTCGACAGAAAAGTTGCTTTTGCTGTACAGATTTTAAAAAACCAAAATGCCTTAAGAAACATGAAAGTTGGGGGGAGGGGTGCAGCAACTCCTTCAAATCAACTTCCTCACCAAGTCCCAAAACATCAGTCACCCCCACCCCCAGGAACTTGAGGGGTAACAGCTCCCTGGATCATTACAACTCCAGGCCTAGATGTCCTGAATTGTGCCCCTCCCTCCCCAAACTCTCCCTCCCACTCCAACCCCGAAAAACACATGAACCAGGAAAAACTCACAGAGATCAACATTTCACAGGGAAAAAAAGGGGGGGGGGGACCCTCCCCTCAAGATGCTGCCAAGGTTCAAGGGAAGGCAGACAAAGACTCCTTCCATGATTCTTCTGGGGAAAATGAGGAATACTCATGTCACCAGAGCATGAGGTGCGGTGGAATCCAGATTATGGAGACCTGCAATAGAGAAGACTGGTCAGTGCATTACTCCACAAATATCCCTAACATTCACAAGGACCAGGCTTTTAAGAAGACACACCTGGAGGAGCGGTGGCGATTAGGTCGGGGACTGGGTGTCTCCTTCCTGCGCTTATGCCCAGGAGAACGGCTGTCCCCACGTTGGCCTCTCCAGGAAACCCGCTCACTGCTACAAGATAATAGAAATTAGGCACCAGAACAGTACTAATAAGACTTTCTTACAAATTAATGGTGGCTACGTGAGCTAAGTTGATACACCTGCTATGTGCCCTACCTCTGTTGATCCCTTGGTGAAGGCTGGGGCGAGGGCTGGTGACGCTCCACAGGTGAGTAACTGAGGGATCGGGAATCCCGAAGGGAGTCTATTGGCTTTCGAGGGCTGCGTGACCTAGGGAGCAGAGTAGGCCTCTATAGCACCACATCCTCACAAACCCACCAGCCAAGCAAGCATTCAGGACCACCCACCCAGGTCCTGACCACCAAACCTCACACCACACAGGGCCAGCCTCAGACCCACCTTTGTCCGCACTCACCCATCCGCCCGCACACCATCCACCGAGTGCCCCCAGTGGACAGGGCACAGGGTGCAGCGGGGGATGCAAAGATAAAAGAGTCCCTGCCCTTGGAGTTTTGTTTGGTAGTGGAGGTCAACAATGAAGGCACACATGCCCCCTACATAGGAAACAGGCCAGCAGGGATGGATGTGCATGGGCCTGGGGATCCCGAGCAAACATGGGGACCTGGGCAGGGGAAGGAAATGGCAGGGCAGTCTTCTCGGAGGTGCTGTTTGAGTGCAGTCTTGCAGAACGAGTTCACCAGGCAGACAAGGAAATCCCAGGCAGAAGGAACAGCATGTCCAAAGGCATGGGGCTCTCCTTAAGACTGCAAGGCGCTGGGTATGGCCGGAGCACAGGGCATGTGTGGGGGCGGGCAGGAGGAGCACAGGGCGGGCAAGGGCAGCTGGTGAAGAGCCTCACACGCCATTCCCGCAGAGGTGGCACTTTATCCTGCAGGCCACAGGGCGTCCCGGAAGGATTTGTGGAGTGAAGGGAAGTAACCAGATGTGCGTTTTAGAAAGATCCCTCTGGCTACGTGTGGAAGAGAATGGCGTGGAGGCAGGGAGACAGGGAGGAGGCTGTGGACAGAGTCGGGAGAAGATGACGGTGGCCAGACCAGAGCCCTGCAGCAGCAATGGGGAGACTTAGAGCTAGAATCTCTGAGACCAGGCTGCTTGTCAGGGGAGGGGAGAGGGAGGAAGAATCCTAGACTTCCCAGTTCTGGCCTGGGCCCTCAGTTGGATAGTGCAGCCCTTGACCAGAACACAACACTGTGGGAGGATGGGAGGAGCGTCGGACTCCTTCCGTACAACCAGACACAGACGTCCACACGAGGCACCCCAGCAGGAACCTCACCCAGGGTCCCTTTTCTGGAGAACTCACGCCCAACCCCCTCTCCACAATAGGCAAGGAAGCACTCACCTCCTCTCGCCAGGGGGTGGCTTCTTGGGGCTTGCAGGTTTGGGTAAGGCCTGAGGGCCAGGCTTAGCAGGGGAGGGGGAGGAGGAGGAAGATGAAGAGGAGGAGGAGGAGGAAGAAGAGGAAGAGGAGGAGGAGGAAGAAGAGGAAGAGGAGGAAGAAGAGGAAGAAGAGGAGGAGGAGGAGCTGGAACTGGAGCTGCTAGAGCGCCTCTTCCGTTTGGCTGGGGTTGGCTCCTGAGGGCGTCCTTCTCGAACAGCCTCCTTTGGGGCTGGGGCAGGGCTGGGGACCCTGTGAGGAAAGAAAGGTGTCACAAGGAGACAAGATGCCCCAGCCCCAACCCTACCTTCCTTGGCCTGGAGGAACGGCAGTGGGGGAGGGGTGTCTGAGAAAGGCCCTGGGAACACATGAAGGCAGGCCAGTAAGCACTTCTCTGGAGCAGTGGCACAGAGCTGACCAAACCTCTGCTAACACAAGCAACAGGCTGGGGCCCGAAGCACAAGGGATCAAGGTTAAACCTCAAGAATGTCCCTGATGAAGGAATAAGGCCCCTGGACTCAGGTGTGGAAGCTGAAGCTGGGTGGTCTCCTTCCTTGGAGAGCCGCAGCTTGGGGAGGCCCCTGTGAGTGCAGGTTGGCTGGGGAGGGGCCGTCCTGCCTGGAGGCAGGGAGAGGGATGGGATGACCTCTGAAGATCCTTCCAGCCCAGGGAGTTCCTCTTGAGGTCTAACTGCCATCCCTCCTGCTGTAAAATTAAGTCCATTTCCTCTAGTTCTGTCCTCTGTAGAGATGGAAAACTTATCATTATCCTCTGGAGAATTAACCTTTGGAGACTTTTATCTGTCCCATTCCTCCCCACAAAGCCCCCACCCAGTGTTCTTTCTACTCCCAACTTGAAGGCCAAGGTCCCCCACACTTTCTCAAAAAGCCAAGTACTTGTGAAGATTTCTCCCTCCCAACTCCCCTACCCATTGTAAATACCTTCCCCCTAGATTCCTTAACTCCCTCACCTTTTCAGGGCCACCTCAGGTTGAGCAGGAAGGCTGGAGCCCTCAGAGTCGCTAGAACTGGAGCCAGAGGAAGAGGAGGAGGAGGAGGATGAAGATGATGATGATGATGAGCTAGAGGATGATGATGAAGAGGAAGAGCTCCGACGTTCCTTTGCTGGTTGCAGAGCAGCCAATGCAGAAGGCTGCTGGGCCCCAGTAGAGGCTGGCGGTTCCCCACCTTCAGCATGGGACACCCCAGGGGCAGGGCCAGAAAGCATGCCATTGTGGTCACTAGCAGAGGATGTGGACTTTACTACAGTCCCGGATGAAATGGACTGAGACCCTGCTACAGGAGTGGTCTGGGCAACTGAACGAGATTGGTCTGAAAAAGCAGATGGCACAGGGGACCGAGGCCTATCCTGTGCTGGAGGGAGAAGAGATTGTGAAGGAGCCTGGACCATTCTTGAAGCAGGAGAAGGAGCCCGCTCAGAGGTCATTCTAGACTGGCTTGGGGCAGATGGTGGTGTTCTGGACCTAGCTCGGTCAAGCAATAAAGGTGAGGTTCTGCCACTGACACGCTCATAAGCAGAAAGGGGCACCCTGGGACTGGTGAGATTTGCACCAGACAATGCTGGAGCCATCCTGGCACTGGAGAGATTTGCGGGAGCCAAAGCTGCAGGGGTTCTAGAGCCAGCAATATTCACAGGAGCTGTGCCATGTGCAGATCGAGGACCCACCAGGTTTGCGGGAGTAGGAGCCTGGGGTGTTCTGGAACTGGAGGGATAATTTGCAGCAGTTGCGGGTGTCCCAGAGCCTGTGAGACTCAAAGCTGCCAACGCAGCTGGTGTTCTAGCTCCTGCTAGGTTCACAGCTGTGGCTGCAGGGGCTCGAGGATCAGCAAGGTTCACAGCTGAAGGAGCCACTGCTGTTCTAGGGCTGGCTAAGTTCATGGCTGCTGCTGCAGATGGTGTTCTTGAGTCAGCAAGGTTCACTGATGTTGGAATAGCAGATGTCCTGGCACTGGCAAGGTTCATGGCTGCTGCAGATGCTGCTGGAATCCTGCTGGCAAGGTTGGCAGCTGGGGCTGTTCTGAGGCTCATTAGAGGTACAGGAGCTGGAACCTGGGACATTCTTGCTGCGAGGCCAGCAGCAGACATAGATGGAGGTGGCCGGGCAGTGCCAAGACTGATGGCTGTCAGAGCAAGTGCAATTCGAGACTGAGCATGGTTTTCTGGAACAGATGTTCTTGGGTGATCAGGAATTCGGGGACCTGGACCATCCATCATTGAGCCACCAGTTTGCTGTAGGACAGACATGGGTGTTCTAGCGCTGCCAAGGGGTTCAAGCATTCCAGGTGATCTACATCGGTCAAGAGGAGTTGGTGACATGCTAGGACGACTGAAGCAGCTCATTCTAGAGCTACTGAGTGCTACAGGAGGTGTACGAGATCCAGAATGATTCCTTGTTGCTGGAGGAGTGGCA